AACCACTTTTCCCCTCTTCGACTCTTCACTTCCAAGAAGATGTTACAATATTTTCAGCGCACTTGACTACTTGCCACTCCTGGGATGCAGTCAGTCATCAACTCATCCAAAAATGGAGCCACTTCAAGCTCTGCACGCAACACAGCTGCCCTCTTGCAGTCGGCACGCGGATGTCGACACACGCTCTCACGTGCTGTGTGCCGAACGTGCTCACACGGGACACAGGGATGCGGGGAAGGTGTTCAGTGGCAGAGATGCACTCTCAGCCCCACATGCCCATGTACACAGGTACCAGACCCAGCAGAGCTGACCCTCAGGACCATGTGCTCTTCCCAGTCGTTCCCATGCACAGCGCACAGTCACGTATTTTTGACCACCCCAACTACAGCTGCTCCATCGTAACACTGAACGTGCAAGCTCTGCACCCTTGGGACATGCTGAAATTAACGGCTCAAAACAACACTGCAGGGTGTAATGCTTCTGCTTGAGGACTGAAATCCTGACATTTCTGGACCTTGAAAATGCAAGACAGCAGCTCTCTGCTCCAGGGGAACATCACAGCCATCGCGTACTTCTTCCCATCCCTCCACGAACAGTTCATACGAGCAGAGCAACCAGCCCTGGGCAGCCCTCCTACCCAACGGACACTCTCCAGCTGGCACTGCAAGGCGATTTGAGTGAAGAAATCTGGAGGAAATCTTATGGTGTGTGTTGTTCCCTGAAAAGGGAATAGGACAGACTACAAGGGCAGAGCTTTTCCAGGGGGCACAAGCTAGTGTGACCTGGCTTCTGGGCTGCCAGGATGCTCTCAATTTCAGCAGACAATGCAACACATGGTCTTCCTATCTGCAGTATTCCTGCCAGCCTCGTGTTTCAATTGCAACTTGATTTTAGCAGCTGCTTTCTCTCGCTGAGACACACACATACTCACACAACCACACCCCTTAAGCAGCTGTAAAATTAAACTTTAGCCAGGTAGGTAGGACCTCTTGTAAAGCACTGGGGACTCAGGGAGGGAACTTCAAAAATCCAGTCTTTTGCTGGAATTTGAGAGGTTTCCATCCCTGGCCTGCTTGCTCTATCAGCTCTTGAGACAGCACTACTAAACGTATATCGGCAGTGTGGAGGTAAAAAGTAAGGCAAATAGAAGAAAACAGACAGTGGAAGACGCTTGAAGCTGTCTGACATGATTTGCAATAGCTAAAGAAGCCTGCTGGAGGCTCTCACCTCTCCTCCAGCCTCTCCTCTCTTCTCCTTGTCCCTGAATTCACCTCTCCGCTTCGCTGCCATCAGCCAGCACAAACCCCCGCTCAGGCTGGTGCTGGCCATGACTCGTGATCCCAGCCCAGCCTGGCAGCCACAACTGTGGCATCTGCACATCTATCAAACCCACCGGAGCATTTGGGAGGCAGAGGTCAGCCTAAGCAGCATATGGAGCAGTTGCGTGGTGAATACCGGCCTCCTCAGGAGCTGTCTGCCACAGATGGAAAAAGCCCAGGAGCCATCACGACAAAATCTTATGGCCGGGGGCGACGCATCCTCCCTGTCAGCTTTCCAAGCCGCTGAGCAATATTGGAAACCTCAGCTCCTCTCCTACCAGTGCACACGCCCAGCACTGACTCATTCACCGCCGTTTCGGTCCTGCGGTTTGCCAGTGGGAGTTGTAGAAAGTAGGATGTGGAGATGAGTTAATCCCAATGGCATGTGGCTACCACGATGGAGGGGGACTAGCCACCCACTCCGGCGGTATGAGCTGGCTGTGCACAGTGTGGATGTGCCATGAAGATCCAGGTCCAACCTGCTGATGCAGTCATAGGGATTTTTTAACCTTAACTCTTGGTGGGGATGGGATATACCACCACAGGACCATACAAGGTCCTCTCCTGGAGAAAGGTATCCCTTTATGTGGTCCCAGGACTTAGTCAACACGCAACCAGGAATGGAGTTAATGGCAGCAAAATTCAAGGGGGTCACCAGGAGCAATGCTCCAGCTGCGAGATCTCACAGGCCAAGTGGCACAAGGCAGTGCACAGAAGGCATGACATTTCCCTGGCTAAAATAAACCTCAAACCAAGCCCAAGTTCAAATCCCCACACTAGCTAGAGACAGGCAAAGAGAGCCACCACAGTTTCTCCAGCTCTGATTCCTTGGAGTACTGCAATTCCTCTCCATCTGAAACTATTCCACTGGTTGTAATTTAAAAACAAAATCAATCCAGCAAACATTGCTAAGCAACTGGCTGTCAGTGCCACATCCCATCCCATCGAAAGCATTTGCCCTCTCCATGCCCTTCTGGCAAGGAGCTTACTGCTCAGCCTTTGCCAGATTTTGCAGCTATTGTTGGAAAGGTCCAGGTGCTTGGCTGAATTAGCAAAGAAAACTCCAGGAAATCTTCTGCAACCAGAAGGATAAAACCAGAAGGAAAAATAGCCCACAGAGAAGCTGCAAGGAGCAGCATTCCCACATCCCAGCCCTTAGGATCCAGACTTCAGGGTGTGGGTCTTGGGACATTACCATGGTCTATAGGCCTATGCATCTCAGTGCTGCCACGTGTCATACAGAGGGGATAAAGGATGGGGAGCCAACACACTGGAAACCTGGTCACAGAGCAGAGCAATCTGCTTTGAGCAACATCTGACTGAGAGGCTGAAGGAGAACCTGCTTGCTCATGGGTATGAGCTGAAGAGATGGGCGAGACCCTCTCAAAAGCCTCCTAACCCCTTATGTGAGCCAGGCAGGAGCCCCTCGACATGGTGGTGCCCCTTAAATGTAGGATCTGCGACAGGATGTATCTTCCCCCAAAGTCAGCTGGAGCAGAATCAAGGTCCAAATCCTCGGGTTCACTCTCAAATAAGGAAGCCTGAATGCTTCCAGTCTGGCTTGCATAAAGCGGCTTAATCTAGGTTTTCCGTTGAAATCAAGCCTCTAAACACAACCTCCAGTAGGTCATGCAGCATGAGCCCTGGGGGTGTCCCTTCTCTGTTGTCCACAGGATTCTCCTCTTCCTTTTGCAGGAGGGGCATCTCCTACTCAACACCATGCTCCACCCTCTTTATATATTTCTGTGTATATTCTTGCAAAGCCAACAGCAATTTCTCTCTGTTTCAAGAGCAGGCCATGCTTATCCATGCTTCCCCACACAGTTGTACTGGACAATTCAAGACCAGCTTCTAAGTTGCACGGTAGCGCCTGAGCATCACCTGCGGCAGCTCCCGGGACACCTGTGATCTAAACAAGGATTATCTTTCCTGAGCGGGCTTAGTTACGCACTTTCCTCCCTCCCTCAACCAACAATCCCAGATCCTTTTCCCTCCTCCATACTTCCCATCAGCGCCTGCCTCCCCCAGATCTCCCGGCAGCCCCATTTCCTCTGTGGCCGCTCTAATGCTCGGCTAATGGTGCATCAGCCGCAGCATTCTCCAGACATATTCAATAAATCAGAATCCAATTACCGGGTTAAGGAAATTGGAAACAAATTAAATTAGCCCTAGCCCCTCCCAGGTGCTGTGCCCTCACTTCCTCCTTAATGAGAACTTTTCTTTCACAGGAGCACTCAGCACCGCATCTGCCCACCCAGGAACAAGGTGGTTGCCACTGCGCAGCACGGGTACGGCAAAGGGGCAGCCGAGTCGGTCTTCCCTTTTAGTAGGGCAGATGGTTAATATCCCTGGCATTAATTCTCTCCAGGAATAGCACACTAGCTCTCTGCTCAGCTATAACAGGTGTCTGTCAGGGCTGACAGCTCCTCTCCAGAGAAAAGAGCATCTGGTCCTTACTACAAAAAGAAGCTAAATAAATAAATAAGCACGTTATAGGGCAGGAGAACTCGTGCTGTTTCAGCATTTCAGCCTAAGTGCTGCCTTTGAACTGGAATAGGGGAAATTCAGAGTTGGGTCAGATGCCAGGAGTGGAGTTGTTCTGATCTGGGAACAAGGTGCAGCATGGGCAGCAAGGTGCCATGACTGGGTCCAGCACAGAGCTCCCACCAAAACAGGACTTCCCCCAAAGGGCTCCCAAGAGAAGACTGTAGAGAATGGCTGCTGCCAGCAAGTTGGGACACGATGCCAGGCAGAGCTCCTTGGAAAGGGTTTGCACCGTCTGTAGGTTGGTGAGTGACAGCAGGGGCCAGGCATATGCTGTGCCCTCAGAAGACAATGAGGAGAACTGCATTGAGGGAACCTTGGGAATTTTTCCTTCACCAGTGGGACACCTCTGCATCACTCCATCCAGAAAACTAACCATTAACCTCACTGACCTTCAACAACCTGCACCCACGAAGGGCAGCTCTTCCCTGAGGAGTTAGGAGAGGCAACCACAGGAGGTTACAGCTGCGCTCTCAGCAAGAAATGGTGCACCAAAACTCCCATCCCACCCTTCTCATGCTGACAAGGTAGTAGGGCTCTGTCTACAAGACAACCCTTGCTGCAATCCTCCCTGCCTCTCCCAAGGGGTCCTTTGGGTGCCAAAGGATATTTTTGAACTCAGTGGTGCTGAAGCAACCAGTAATCCAGAAAGTTCTTACCTCTCCCTCTCACTCAGCAATTGCCTCTCATTCCCCACTCCTCTCTCTACAGAGCCAAATCAATGTTTAACAGTTATTTTATCCGCCTTGCACCACTTCACTGCATTGCCTGCAGAGTAAGAGCTCCCAGCACCAGTGAAAACTTTGACCATCATGGAGAAGTGTTCTTGCGCACCCATTACTTTTCTGAAGGTCAAAAAAAGGGTTTTCCTTTCTTTCCTTATAATTCCAGGAAAATTTATATAGGTTTTAATTAATAGGTTTAAGACTTCCAGACATGCCAGGATATCAAGCAAAGTGAGTCAATCCTAAAAATATAACTCAGACAGAAGCAATCTCAAGAACACCCTCTGCTCTGTGGGCCAAGGGCCCAGACCCACCTAGCAACCCAAAACCACGGCCCTGAAGAGAAACGAACTATCCACCCAAATATAGTGAAGTTTCACAAGATCAGGAGAAAGCAGGGGGGAGGCAGAACCTGTGATGGCGGGTGTCACGGACAGCACGGTCACTGGGGATCCTCTCGCTCTCCCGCTGGTTAAAGGCGTGCAGCCGGTACGGGTCCTCGCCGCCCTTCCACCTCCGGGCACTCAGGTACCTCCGCTCTTCAAACTGATCCCAAAGGTCGTCCCAGTCCACATCCGACTCCTGCACGCACAAAGTCAGCCCCATTAGACAGAGGAGAGACCAGGGGACACCTGACCCCACTCCAGAGATCCTCCCAAGTCCCACCGGAAGGTCGGTCAGCACTGCAACATGGGTAAGCATTGCAAGAGCAGGCCAACAAGGAGTCCCATTAGGTCTTCGGGGTTTATTTTTTCCCCTTAGGTCCCAAAACACCATGTCAGAGAGAGCCTGCCAATTTGAATTTAAAATGACTAATTTGAAACCAAATTCAGGTCTCTGGGGGATGCCGCTCTCAAGCAGCATGGCCTCAAGAAATATAAAAGCGCAAAGGTTTTGTGAGGGTTTTAATTTCTCTCCAGCCAAGAAACAAAGGTATTTTACATCACTTGACCCATCGCCCCTGTAACTCTTCAGAAAAGGGCCATCAACAGGAGATGTTTCATAAAGCACAGTCCCACATTTCCACAGTCACTCCCTAGGCCGAGGACTAGCTCAAGTAACAGGATTCTAGAAGAACAGGTGCCACCATCCTTCCAGCCCAGTTTCAGTCCATCTTCGCCACAACAAGTCTCCCACTAAGGTCTTCAGCCCTACCACAGAGAGAAGAGCAAGCAAGCACGTGCTTGTGCGGCCCCCCCTCCAGAAGGATGGAGGAGCTGCATTTCGGGGCTACCCAACAGCTCTGACAACCATCGGGGGTTTAAGCATCTCTTGGTGGGTTGGTGCTGTTGGGGGGGGTTTAAACATCCCTCCGTAGCATGATGCTGTCAGGGGGTTCAAGCACCCTTTGGCAGTGTCTGAGCCAGCCAGCACAACACCATGCGGATAAGATCTCGTTGCAGCAGCACAACCTCTTTGATCTTGGCCTACCTGTAGCACTGAGAGATGCAAACATTTACAGACATCTCAGCCCTAAAGAAAATTGTGATCTTATCCAATAATTGATCTTTTCTTCTTCTTTTCTTTTTTTTTCACCCTCCTCAGTTCACACCATCTCAAAGCCGATTTTGCCTGCTAATAGCACAAAATGAAGCTTTTGAAATGGGTGATTTTTATCCTGTAATTGATTTTTCTCGCATCTGGCAGTGCATTTTCTGTAGTCAGAGGAAGGGGAGGAGGGAGCACTGGCTCCTGCAAGTGAATCACTGCAGGACCAAGCCAGGCACTTCCAAACACAGGATGCCCCCATTGCTCTGGGTTACAGCAACATGAGTACTTCCAAAAAGGCAGCAAAGCCCAGGCATGGAGGGGTTTCCAGACACAGGGCTATATTCATCCTCCCCTGGTGTGACCCCATGGCCTTCTCAGGAGCTTCTCCAGCATTTACCCCATTGTGGGAATATCAGAAGAAACTACAGGGCCACCAACCACACTGGAAGAAAGTCACTCAAGACCAAGGGAAAGTTAACCAAGGCTGGGAGAAAGTTATGAAACCAGCGAGGTCACTGCAGGAGGTTTACGAGAAGGATGCACAGAACCCGCCTGCGGACTTTTGGGAGGACCGACGTGCTCAGGGTGATAAATACTGTTTATGCTTTTTTCTAAGGCATCTTGCAAAACGTGATTTACTGCCACAGTAAAAGATCAGGGAAAAGAGAGCCGATTGCATCGCAGAGCCACCGACAGCCTGATGTTTATAAGATTTCATGATGACCCCGGGAGGCCTAGCGCTGCTAAAACAACCGCCACGGAGTTGCAGTCCCTAAATTTTAATGCTGTGAAGAAAAATAAAACTTGGTTTTATCAAACTTAATAAGAAAAATGGCTTTCAGAAGCGGCCACGTAGCACTTGAGGCTGTAAGATGCGTGCATATATATGTTTGTTTGTTTTTTAATATCAGTTAAACCCAATAGCTTTGGATCAGCTAGAAGGGCACAGCAGGGCAAGAATCTGATGGCTCAGGTGGGAGGGCTGGTGGATTCCTGCAAGCAACCGTGGCTCCAGGAAAACTGGAGCTTCTGCACCTGCTACAAGGGCAGCGAGGCTCTGGTCAGGCAGCAGAAGCAGGGGTTCAACACACAGGAGAGTCCTGGCATGTGCTTCAGGGTCTGGGATGGCATTTTCCCAGCATCCATCTAACCCCAGTAATGTTCTGTTGCTGGGAGGTCCCAGCAGTAAACTGGACAAATACCGGTGGCTCATCCAGCAGTATTTGCTTCTCCTCCTACCCTGGATATACCTTGCACCCAAGGGTTGAATTCTTGGTTTGCTCTGTAGTGAGTAACTAATTCTCCTATGAAATCCCCACCTGAAAGGCATCAGCCCACCTTGATTCACCCAGGCTCTCCTTCTTGGGTTGAGGAAAGATATCAGAAGGATGGTTACTAAATATTGGGTAATTAAATACACACCTGAGATCAAGAGCAAATAGATGCCAGAGATTAAAGAGTTATTTTAATCCCTGTCTGGCCACAAAACAAACCTGGGTTAACTTTCTCAGACAGAAGTAGATACCCAGGTGTGGTAATTCACTTTCAGTCCACATCACCTGTCCAAATCTTCTAGGTGCTCTTTCCATCCCAAGCCTCCCTACCAAAATCAGAGCAGGATGCTCAGACACGTGCACACTGAACTCTGCAAAAAAAAACCTGCACAAAGTAAAGAAGGAAAGCAAGGCAGCATCCTCAGATGAAAAGCTGACAGCTATGTAAGCCGTGGGAGGCAGGAGACCTCACCAACGCAGAGACTCACCTGTTTCTTGGCACCTGATCAGGGACAGGGAGTGAGAGTTAAAGCATCAGGAGAAATCCCCTTTGCTCACCCAGGGACAGCACATGGGTTACAGGTTACCAGATAAGGTCTTCATTATAATATTTCCGTCATGTATTATCACCTCTTCCTCACACCAGAATTCTGTCTTGGGAGTTATTTAACTGATATGCAGAAATCTAAATTTAATTTATTATGATCTAACTCACTTCAGAGGCCAAATTACCCTGCACTAGAGAAGGATCAAGTCAATACTCCACTTGCCTTTCTATTTATCTTCTACAGGGCTCATCTCTCCAAGTTTCATATTCATTTTCTCTCATGTACGAATAATAAATTTTCTTTTTCTTTTTTTTTTGTTGGAATTAGGTAATTTCTCTTTCGACATTGAAGTTTAATGGCTGGTATTAATTATAGGAAACACAGTCAACGCTTAAAAAGAGTTTAAGAGACTCAACGAGTCTGAAGGAAAGAAATGAAAAATGTATCCAAGGGGTAGCTGTCTGCTCTCAGCAAACAAGTGTTGCCCCCTCTGACACCGCACTGGGGGATCCCCAGGACATGGACAAAACTCATTGTGGAGAGGAGCTCCCTTCTCACATCAGCATCCGGACAAGAGAAAGGCTCACCAAGAGCTTTCTCTGCTATCTCACTTAAAGTATCCCCCCCAAAAAAGATCCACTAAAGGCACCCTCCTCCAAAACTGCCTGCCCCCTTGCTGGCAGAGGGCAAATGGCCCAGAGCCAGCATGGAGCCACCTTTTCACAACAACCGCACATTAAAGATTAAAAGCCTCTCAGTGCAAAGATGTAATTCGTCATCTGCCTCCTAAATCACGGCTCAGAAACAAAACAAAAAAAAAAAAGGGGGGGGGGAATAATATTAAAAAAAAAAGAGCGGTGGTGCAGGGGGAAAGTGGGTCATTAGCAGTAAAACTACAATTTTCTGGCAAGTGCTAATGCCTTGTTTATGTGGATTTCTGCGAATATGACATTTTAATGGCATAATAATTGTGTGATTACAGTACGGCAGGGATTGCTGGAGCGGGAAGGAGGAACAAGCAACTCAGCCGGCTACTGATGCGGGCCCGCAGCGTCCCCATGGGAAGCTCTGCTCCTGCAGGCAGCCCCCAGCACCCCTCACTGGCACAGGAGGCCAGAGCAGGCTGGACACTGGGCACTGGACACAGGCATGTTGTGGCAGCACTTGGGCTATTGTGAGGCAGCCCAGCAATGAAAGGGCATTTCAGGTGAAAAGCCTGACCCAAGCACAGCCAGCAGTGACTGGGGATGGGCAGCCACACCAGACCCCAGGACCAGCCTCCAGCTGCCCAGGAAAACAAGGAGTGGGTGGCGCAAGCCAAAAGCAGATTCTGATTCACTTTCTTCTTTCATGGCACTGTTTTAAAATAGAGAACTTAAGCCTTTGCTAAAATACAAGTAATTTTCCTTTTGGGCATGCTGAGTTTTGCCTTTAGACCAGAGTGAATCGGATTGGCACCATGAGCATCTTCGCAGGAGGCAGCAAACCCAAGCCTGCCCAGTGGGCTGGTAGAGCTGACAGGGTTTGACAGGGAGCCCCATCTTTGGCCAGAAAAGAGGTTTTGCCTGTGCAGGTGCAATGATGACCCCAAAGGGGTCTGGCAGCAGCCAAACATGGCTCTACCTCTATTTCCCTCACACCCAGCTTTCCCTGGAAAATCTCTTCCCTACATAACCTCTGACTGAGCACTCACCACTGAGCCTCTGTCCTGCCTTCCCTGGGACTCAGGCATTAAAAAATAGGAGGGGAGGGGAAGTAAAAAATTACATCTGGCTATCAAAAGTTCCAACAAACAAGTGAAAGCTCTAGAAACTCCGAAGCTGTGTGGCATGTTGCTGCCTGGCCACAGTCTGTCACTCCTCTGCCTGCCAGGACGTCTTTGTGTTCAGCACAGTTCAGGGGCACCGGAGGCAGAGGGCAATCGTCCAGCAGGAATTGCAACCAGACATTATACAAATGAGATTTAAATGTCCCACTGAAGCGTGGGGCCTCTGCAAGCAGGAGGTTCAGTTATAAAGCTGTTACTGGCCAAGGCATTAATGCCATCTGAAAGGATTATAATACTTCAAACAGGATAGGGCTCATCCCTTCTCGTCTCCCGGTGCCAGGACGTGTACTAAGAGGGTCAGCAGCACCAGAAGGAAAAGAAGTGGGACAGCATCACACTGCCTTCATCCTCATCCTTGAATAACCCACCGAGGACCCTTGAATAACCCTTGATGGACCACCGAGGTACAAGATCCTTCAGTCAAGCTTTGGTACAGTTTTC